AACTTCTACTGCCTTTCACTGTCTACAGCCAGTTGTAGAAAGGCAGTTACCCTTAGATTTCTTAAAGTAGAAATGAATTGAAATAAAGCCACCCTAATATCTCTACTAATTAAACTCCCAACCTCCATCCTTACAAAAAGATATTGAATAGAACTATATATATTTATTGTACTGTTTATCTGACATTTATTTTGGATTTGTTTAGTTTGATTGACAAGCTGTTTAATTTCCAAATGCTAAGTAGTATTACATCATGATTCCCTCCCCTTATAGAATTTAACTTTGTTTTCAGTGTTTTAGGACATTGTTATTGAAAAAAAACTGAACTTGCTGACAAAGTTAACTAAGTATCATTCAAACTGTTAAAATAATATCAAGTTGGTATAGGATTAAGCCTCGATGTTAATTACTTGAACTGTATGCACATAAACCAGCAGTGAAAAGAAAGTACTTTTTATAATAAATGTTGTATTGATGTCATAACTTTGTCTGGAATTATAATTACCTTTCCATAATCTGATGCATCCATCATCTCCCGAGGATGCTAAGATTGTTCCAGTGATATTCCAGCTCACTCGCCAAACCTGTATGTTTATCGTATCAGTCAAGTTTCAATAAAAGAAATTGGGAAATAAATCTAAATACAAACTGTGGTTAATAATTCGAGTGGTAACACCATTTTCACACCCACAACTCAAGTTTTATTTGAGCATAGGTAGTATAGCACTATATACAAGACAAATAAAACCTGCATAGAGCTTAAAAACTATTTCACACTTATCAAATTATAAAAATATTTTATTAGTTTTTATGTCAAACATGTCTTAATTTATAAAATCCTAAAAGCATGTATGAACTATTATGGGTATTTTAAAGTTTACATACATTAGGATTTCTAAGGAACAAAATTAAAATTCTTAGTATAATTTAATCCTTTAGAAGACAAATATAAATATATATATATATATATATATAAGAAAATTGAAACATCAAGTGTTTAAAATTTAATGTGCAAAAACTCCAAGTTTGTTCTTTGGTAAAGCAGTTTTTTAATTTTAAGACCTTTGTAACTGAACTTGTATTAAACACCATTGAATATAACTGCAGTTGGTAGCAATAATTAGGAAATCTATCATTATAAGTACTGCAAGAACTTACTTGAGAGTTATGGTCATCAAACTGACCAACTTGACGGATTTCAAATTTGGGAACACTAGTTTGGACAGCAGTTGAGGTCTGATCTATACTGGAATTTTGAAACAACCATTACTAGCTATCTGATAAAGACAGTATCATACAATTCAGTACTCAATGTAATGACTACAAATTTAGTTTTTGTATATGATTTTAAACTTTAAAGGACATTAAAACATTCTTGTTAAAGGTCTAAGCATGAATTAATTTTAAATGTTATAATCTATAACTTATTACGTGAAATCCTCATCATTGTCATTCTTTCGTTTTTTACTTTGAAAAAGATTTGAAAAACACAGTTCTTTAATCAAGTTGTTGATATTATGAGCAAAAGGATGTTCATGTTACAAAAACATTCTCATCTAAAAGATAGAAAATACTTGGCCAAATGAGGGTACTTACTTAAGTGGCTTCAGGGAAATGATGCGCACATCTTTAGCTGCTGCTGCCAGGAGATGATAGGATCGGCCCAGGTTAGGAGCAAAAGCAATATCATGCACACGATCTGTTACTGTCATGATACTTTCAACCTTTACCCATCTTCTGGTGTTGTCATTATACTCATAAATCAAAATTTTCCCACCAGCTGAAGGATTAGCATCATCACTCCCAACAGCTATCATGGGTGGATGAACTCTATGAATAAAAAAGTTATTTCTATAAAATACATTATGACAACAAGTTTTCAACAGTTATTATGGAGGGATGGACTTGTGTTAATAGCAATATTTTATTTAGAATATTGTATGATAACAGATCCATGTTGTAACAACTTAGGCTAAGGAAATAAATAACCTCTGCAGTATAGAACTGAAGAGATGGAACTACCTTTTGCACAATGAGGGACCCCACACCAAAACCGTGTTGTATAATATTAATTTATTGTATATTACTACCAAAACATAGAAAATTTAATGAAATTTTAGTGTAAATATAACCTATGACAATAAATTCACACACACACACATATATATAAATATATATATACATTACTTAATTACAAAGAAACTTTCATATTTAAAATGATTATACCTTAAAAACTACTTATCCATTAAAGAACTAAATTTCACCAGAGGGAAACTGAGAATCACAAGTCTTATTCAAGATAGTTTCAGTATGGTACAAGGTGTCTCAAAAATTATCTTAAAAAAGTGTTCATTATGTATTTGATCACTCTTGGTCACCATATCAATCCAAAATGGAACTACCATAAACAATATCTTTTTCTGTACAGTGTTCATTGATTCTAACAATATCCTATATAGTAACATAGATTCAAATCACCAATTTGTTTTTTAACTCTTTCAAAAAATAAGTGCAATGTTAGTTTACAAGAAAAATGTTTACAAAAATATATATATATATATATAGATTGATAGATATTTGCCAGAAAAAAAATTATTTTAACAAAATATTTGCCATAATAATGTGATTAATTCCTACATGGCAAATCACTAATGTCGAAATGACCACGTGCTCACCATTTATTGTTTTTAAAATATCCAGTAACCCCTCATTGTTCGTGTGTAAATCAAATAATAAAAACGTTTTACTATCATTGATAACAGTAATAAAATGTTTTTATTTAAAAAATATTGCGACTGCAATTAGAAATAATTAAATAGCCAGATAGCCAATTTATTTATGTACTTTGTTTAAATAGGATAAACTTAAAAATAATATTCAATAAATAAGGATTTGAGTCATCATAATATTTTGCTGTCACCTACTATACACACTAAACCTAAGCAAGCTTATATGATGTCTTCTCATCAAAGAAACTTTCTGTCACTTTCAAACAAATATAATTTAACATGCAAATGCTTTCACGAATAAAAATGGCTAAAGAAACTATAAAATAATTCCTAGCTCTCTTGTTTGTTCCCAAGACTTCGAAACTTCAGACTGAATGCTTTTGGTCAATGTTACGGAAGATCTGACAAGAAACTTTCTCACAAAACCATGAAGTACTGTTTAAACCACTTTATTTACTCTAATGTGAAAAGTCAAATTGTTACTCTATACAGTCATAGTTAAACTTTCTTTCTAACTGTTTCCAAAACTGTGTTTCATTAGCAAATGAGAAAACAACTTGATGTGACACTATAAAAGGGGTGGCAACCAAGCTATGTATAAAAACTATGCAGAAAAAGACAAATGAAATGCTTGAAAATCAAGGAATGGATAGTATATTCAAGTGATGATAGTGGTTTAGCAAATTTAAAGTTATTATTTGGGATGGGCTGAACAAAAACTGACAAGTGAATTGTTTACAGACAAGACTCCTAGAAAGTTATGCGGGAATAAACATTTTAAAATTGTTGTATTTTTCTTCATAAATTACACAAAGTATACATTATGAAATGACAAAATATTGAGTCTAAAACATTTTTGACTTAAAAAAGTGTTAGAATTTGTCAACATACAAAATTGACTTAAAGATTGGTGGCTCAAAAAAATTGAATGTGGGGAAAAACAAATTCTTATAGCAAAAAAGATTTATGAAAAGCCAGAGGAAGCCCATGTAGATATGTTGATATTGAAATTCAAGTTGTTCAAAATGCTATTTTCAAGTTTTGAACAACTCGACTTTCAAGATCTACGTATCTACATGAGCCGATGTTTCCATTTGTGAATGTTATATTTTAAGATCTGTACAAGAACTCAGCTAACAGATGTTTCCGCATATGAAAGCTATCTTCAAATATTAGTTTTATTTCAACATATCTTAAGATTCCAAGGCTAAAAGTTGTCCCTGGACCACAGCTTTTTTTTTCTGTCATGGGTGCACCTAATTTTCTGGTGCACCACCAACTTATGAAGTAACTCTATGCTGCTAAAGAAATATATATAATAATTGTCAGATACAAAAGACTGTTTGGGGTAAGTATTATTAATTTATTTATTTTGTGAGTGAATATTTCATGATTGTTTAGTTTTTTCATAACAAGAGAGTTAAAAGCAATTATTTTAATGGCGATAGTTATGACAAGTTTGGTTACATAACTCGGTAAGAATTGTATGTTGTGTTTATAATTCACTATCAAACGTTGCATGCAATTCATTGATGTTGAGGATACAGAGATTTCTAGAAGGCCTAAGCGATAGACATATAAATAGCGGCAAGCAGAGGGAAAAAAAAGCAGCAGAAGAGAGTAAAGTCACAGGAAGGAGAAGTTCAGTCAGAGAAAAGTTAATTGTCATGGGAGTGAATGGCCTAACAGTTGATATGTTAAGAGGTGTGATTACAATTTCATAAGAGATAAGGAGAATAAGTTGTTTCATCAAAGGGTATTTTAAAGTAATTGAACCAGCCCGGGTGGACTTTGACAAAAAGCAGATGGTCCTTGGAAATACGAAAAAGGAGCAGACTATTTTTGAAGTACAGGATACAACTGCGGTAACTCAACGACAACATAAGTGACCTATAAATGGATAGTCTGGAAATAGAAATAGAGAAAAATGGTTTTGCTCGTCAACTTAATTATAAAGCAATTGAATAGGCCTAAGTGGACTTTTGACAAGAAGAGAACTATATAGTGTTTAATATATAACTATGACCTCCATAGTGTAAGGATTTTTTGTACATATATTTAACTTGTTCCAAATATATATACATATATATTATTTTGAAAACAAGTCGAGTGCATGCTGTTTATTTTTTGAATTTATCATCAACAGATCACAGACACCTACTGTAGAACAATCCTTAGCTCAATACACCCATAAACTTACATTGCTACATACTACTAAGAAAGTAAGTTCTCTGACACTAATATTATTTTTTTAATAATCACCCTGTACTTGTGTTCCAAAACTTTAATAAAAGTGAAGTTGCAATGCACAATTTATATTTTCATTGCAATTTACTTAGTATATTAAATAAAGGTTGAAGTATGGTGAAATATAACCGAAAAAAGCTACATATCATACCTGGATGGGCTCCATGTAAGACAACTACAACTAAGTTTACTGGATATTTCATTCTGCAGTGACCACTGACTTAAATTCATTACGTCAGGAGCTTCATAGATTCGGATTATACCATCACTCGAACAAGTAGCAAGCTGAAGGCCTAGATGCTTCGGGGCAAACTTGAGGTCTGTAACTGAGGTTCTACTGTCCACTAGGCTAGTTCGTTTCACCCAATGTGACTGACTCCGTTCTCCACCACTGTTATCTATGACTTACAAAAAAAAGTGTTCTCAACAATGGTTTGCAAGAGCATGTACATGTAATTAATAAACAAAAGTATAAAACATATTCTAAAACAGCACTTAGCAACTGTCAGTAGTATATATCACACACATAAACACTAATATCAAATAATAATTTAACAGCCCTTGTAATAAAATATATTTTCAAGATACTAAGGATGCACAAAAAAAGCAACCTGATAACATAACATTTAAAGACAAGGGACATTTTTGTCCATCTTGACTGTCCCATTCACTAAACTATATAAAAAACTCAAAGCCAGCTCATATCATTCAAATATTAATCAAACCTTTCCTTAAACTTAGTGTCTCCACCACAGCTGAAGGCAACCCATTCCAAAGGACAACTACATTCTTAGAAAAACAAAACTGTCTTATTTAAAGATGACTCCTACCCCAACAAAATTTAAATTTGTGTCCCTTCCACTCTCACCGTTAAGTGTGAAAAAGAGATAATACATTGACACTATCAATTCCTTTAAAAATCTTAAACACCTCAATCAGATTTCTTCTAACTCTTCTTTTTTTTTAAGATAAAACAATTTCAGGGATATTAACCTGTTCATGTCTGACAACCCTTCGATCCCAGATTTAATCCTAGTAGCCCTTTCTTGAACCCCTATTCAACAATTCAATGTCCTTCTAAAGAAAAAGAAGCCCAAGACTGAACATAATAATCCAAATGAGGCCTAACCAGTGACCTACAAAATGAAATTATAACCTTTTTAGACTTTTTATTCAATATTTCTACATATACAATAAACCCTGATTTACACCACTTGAGACATTAATCAATTTATAACAACCTTCTACTTTTTTTCCATCTAGCTATTTTTCTATACAATGAGCCAACTTATCCCCCACATCTATAGCAATAACCTTTTTAACAAGCCTTTTATGTGGTACTTTACCAGATGCTTTCTGAAAATCCAGATACACCAAATCCACACCTTTACCCTCATCTACATAAACAGTAACCTTTTCAAAGAATGTTAAAATATTAGTAAGGAAAGATTTTCCCCTAGTAAAACCATGTTGTGACTATCCAAGTAAATTGCAAGGCATTTTCAGAAGGTCTTTCTTCAAAAGGCGCACAGATTATCATACGTTCTCTTCTATAATAAAGATACATAGACAAGTATATAAATAAATTATGAATTTTGTACTTTCTTATATGACTACCCTGAGTAAAATGCTTAAGTGCAGAAGAACTTTTGTATGTGTATTTTTAATGAATTTATTTAAGACTGAATTATGTATCACTTGTTATACTGTAAATAAGTTAATTTTGAGGCCATGAACAAGATAAACTTAAAACGTCATGTAACATTTAGCCTTTAGTTTGTATTGAATAGACAGGTAGCTCAATCACAGCAAAGTATTTAATACAGCACTTATAATCTACCCTCGACAGTCCATTTTGTGTTATTTAGGAGCTTGTTGTATTTTATAATCTTCTCATAATAAAAGGATGGGTGTGAAGCTTACTATCACTAGATGAATCAGCAGTGTTACACTTAGGCTTAAGTTGTAAATACATTACAAGATAGTGAAGCTCTTTTCTCTAAGGTTTATTGGGTAATAAAGTTCATAAGATTGTATATTTGTATCTATTAGTGCCTTAAGTAAAGTCCAAGTTACAGATAATCAATACCAGCACTTTCATAGATTAACGTGATGCGAGGGATTTACAATGACAGTAATATACAAATATTAAGGTTTTTTTTAATTCTTTTACATGTGATTACTAGTGTAATACTGTTCAAGACAACATATGTTAATTCCTTGTGTCACCAATACTAGTGTTAGGCTCAAGTGATACGTTAGTGACAATGTTAAAGCCACCTTAGTTTGACTTTTCTTGATTTCAGAATAAAGAATACGTAAATTAAAACTTACTTGTCAGAGAAAGAATTTCATTTATTACCCAAAATATCTGAACTCTCTACGACTTATTATTAAATTCTAATTTTGTTGCATACTTTTTTTGAGGAAGAATCATAAGCTAGCCAATTAACACTGGAAAGAAGTCACCATTTTTCAAACAAGAGATCTTCCAGTCAAACAGAATGAGATTAAATACAGGTTAAAACACTACCATGGCCTAATGATTTCCAACAGTAATCAGCAAATTATTCAGTCTGCTCAATGACAGTCATGGGTTTTTAATGAGATTATATGATACAGTAAATTAAATATATAGTTATTGGTAGGCTATTTACAAGAGAAAAATAAAAGTTGGATGTAGTGACATCCATTAAAAATGAGATTGATACTGGGAAAAAAAACAAAAAACAGTTTCATTGCATCAATAATGACGAGTATTTACTGCACATTTAACTACAGCAGCTTAACCCTACAACTACTATTAAGGTCTATACACACCCTATCAGATTTTTAAACAAATTTGTGCATCAAATAGCTTCTAGGTAGAGCATGGTGATTAGTGGTATTTGCTAATCAATCAATATAGTGCTCCTCAAAACCATAGTATATACAAGCAATGAAAAAGTTGGCAGCTAGTTGCTTTCCCTTTAGCCAGCTGTTATTGGAATAACCAAAAACAGTAATAATAGGAAACAATTTTGATTAATTTATCATTTTCATGACAATCAATATAAATGGAGATTTGACTAATCAATTGTTAGAATAATAAAATAAAGTAGTTATAACCAGAAACAGTAATTTTGATTGATCAATTTAATTGTAATTTCAATTAATCAATCAGTTCACATGACACTAATCAATTATTGTAGGTTCTGAAAAAGGGCTCACTATAGAAACCAAAACGCCATCCCTTTTACATTCAATAGCCAGTTGCAGTCCATTAAAGTTTTTAAACCTGCTATGTCCACTCTGCCCAAAATTTCACTGAAGCAATGCTAGAAATATACCATATACTTTTAAATAATGAAAGCAATTATATAGACTAATGAAGGGCTCAAAAAGAAATGGTGGTGTTAAACTGAATTTCATTGGAGGTTAGAAAAGCCTCGGCATACTTTAATGAATGTGATGGAGGAACAGGCTCAAACCATAATTAATTGTGTGATGTTTAACCACCAGTCATTCAATATTTAAGTGAGAGTTTATTAAGTGAACCATCTGACTTATCTTTTAACTGGAACCAAATCTTCCATTAGGTTCCTGGTGGTTAGGGATGAATGGATATAAACAGGAATAATGAAATAAATACTGGGCATTCCTCAACATTATGTTTACTGCTGCTACATAGTATTTCTGGTCTGCTTTAAGTATTAACATATTTACTTTTGATCCGTGTAAAAATTTAATCCGCAAGTTACAGAGCTTTTGGCCAGTAAAGTATGTTTGGTCATCCATCTTAGTGATATTAATAGCATCAGGTACATTGGCCATTACTGAGAAATGTGTCACACTGAGTGTTTATAATCTTTATCATTTTTTCACCATTCAGATTTGTTTGTTCTGGGGGGGGGGGGTGAAAGTTATCCTATATTATAACCACTGTGTACTGTGTGTATGTATGCGGAATAACTTGATGCCAAGAAATAAACGTCTTTGTCCTGTAGCTACTAGTAAATACACCTATTTCCTCTTTCTTCATTTGTATTATGTATCAATTGGTGTTACACTCCTATAATATAACAATATGTTTAGTTTATTTCTATGTACACACTGTAGCACCTGGTCTAGACCAGTGGTTCCCAATTGATGTCCACAGAATGGTTGAAAAAAGAAATGTGTTTTAAGGTATAGTTACTAAAGTATTTTGCTCTACAATGTAGCATAATAGTACTTTAAAAAATTAATACCGTATGAAGCAGTCTAAGAAATTTTGGGGTCGGAACTAGCTGGTTCTTGGTTGGAAAAAGATTGGGAACCACTGGTCTAGATTACACTGCCTTACCTTTGTTATTGTTCATGATGTCAGAAAAATATGTAGGTTCAAGAAGTCTCAATATAAACAATAAAAATGCTGTAACCCGAGCACTTTTGAATCGTGGACTTTTGTTCTTCAGGGACAAACTGTGAATGGATGAAGAGATGAATGATGTCATGAAGGTCATCTGGGCCTCCAGGAAGTGTTCTTGAATATTTTTCAATGAAATGTTGTAAGTGTGTCTCATTTTCATTGCAACAGTCAGAAACAAGAGCATTATGCAAAAATGTGTTAGAAAATTTCTGATTTATAAATGGTCAAGAAGAACTACACTTAAGTGTTGTTAAAGTAAAATAAAGGTGAAATTCTAAAGTCCACCTTAATCCTTTCTAACCCATCAAAATCCCAAACAGTAACTGATCTTTCCAGCCTTGTCTTAACTCTAAACAACTTCAAATTCAATAATGAACATTACCTTAAAGTTAACGGTATGCCAATGGGTACCAAAATGGCTCCCAATTATGTCAATGTTTTTATAAATTAGCTAATGTGGGAGCAAGTGGTGGGCCCATGGCCACACCATAAATTTGATCACATGTCTTATTATTAAACACAAAATGAGATTCTTTGGTCATAATTTCAAGTAGTTTCATAAATTGATTTTTAGTTAAGCTGTTAACCTTAGTTTCATCAGGAAATAATAAATCACTACTTAATTTGATTACTTTATCAAGTGGAATGTTATTGTATAAGGACTTAATATCAAAACTGGTGATGTATACAGAATGATCAACTTTTGTGAATTTCACGAAATTAGAGAAATCAAAGGAATCTTTAACACTAAAGTCATTCTTGGTAAATGGAAGTAGGAACTTACTTAAGAAAATAGCTAATTTATAACTATGCATTCCTATGTTATACAATACAAGAAGTCTGATTGGTACACCTGCTTTATGTAGTTAGGCAGACCATACAGAGTACCACTATGTGATCTAACAGGTCTAATCTGGTTATATACTTGATCAGAAATGACATTCTCTTTCTTTAGTTTTAATTGGAGTCTTTGAAGTTTATTTTTTCTCTGGGACCTTTATCCAACACTCTAAACTTGCTGGAGTCATTTAAGTTGGCATGGACTTTATCAAAGTAGTCTTGTTTATTGAGAATGGTAACTCCATTTCCTTTGTCCAGATTTAAGAGCACTAATTATCTAAAATTCTTAAGGTTTTCAAGGTTGCTGTTTCATACTTATTTACCCCTAATCTTTCTAATACTTACTATTTATGATAATGTTCTATGCCTGTCTTTAGAAGTTTATCTGTTTAACATTTCTTTTTTTCAGTCAATCTCCATGTGTCACCTTTATTTTACTTTAACAATATTTCTTGACCATTTCTAAAGGAAAACATCTCTAACACCTTTTTACATAACACTCTCGTTTCTAACTGAGTTGCACTGGAAATGATACACACTTACAACAGTACATTGAAAAACACTTCCTGAAAGCCCAGGTGACCTTCATGACATCACTCATTCACTTACACCACCATTCCCAGTTTACTCCTGAATAAGATAGGTCCACCTTTTGAAAGCACTCCGGCTAAAGGTTTTTTTATTGTTTCATATTAAGACCTTTGTTATTGTGTTACACGTAATAGCAGTAAGGGGATTCTACTGCATTAGACACATAATGGTGTATAATGTATAGTACTGTACATAGCATTCTAATAATTAACACACTATTGAAAAATTTTTTTCATGATTTGAGTTAAAACACACACACACACACATATATATATATATACATACAAGACAGAGATAACAAGTACATACATTAATTTACAAATATGTATCAGCATATCTAGAAGAAATGAATGAGAAATTTTATCTGACTTCAGTATTTTCATTAATAACAATTGTTTCTTTGTATCTTCCTACTCAAATCTTTAATTCATTATCAACACTTCAATTGATATATTGAACTTTTAACTATTTTATCTTTGCTTTTAATCTGCTATTATTGTAGGGTTTCTAAAACACCTCATGTAATTTTCTTATCATCACAGATATATTACATATCTGAATTTCTTCTTACACTTATAAACATATTTCTTTGGCAATATTTTATTCACTTATGTTTGTCCCAAGATAATATTGTAAGGCTTATTGTACTTTTAAAAACTACATTCTTTCTAGAAGAGCATATAATAGTATTTTCTTGTTGTTAAAATGTACCTTTTTTCAGAAACAAATAATATTTAAACTGAACACAACTGAATCTTGGATTTTTACCCCTATATTTACTTTGAGAAGAATAAAAACTAAAAATATACAACCAACACCAAAGTTTCATATCAACAGTATAAAAATATATGACAAGTGAGTTTTAACTTTGCTGAGCATTAAACAACAGTTATTCTCACCTAGTTCTTCCCAAACAGCTGCAGTCCGATCAAAAGAGCAGGTTGCAATAACCTGACCAAACTCAGGATGAGCCCAAGTTACTTTCCATACGGAGCCACTGTGGGTCTACAAAACATAATAATTAATATGTATTCACTACTTTTTTTATGCTTTTATTTATGTACTCAGCTAATTATGCACGCCTAGAACTGATTACCAGTATTAATATAATCAGTTTACCACTGTGTTAAATATGCATTCAACTAATGCTATATCTAAAACAGAGTACACATATTAATATAGTTTTATTTTACTGTAATATAGGTATCCCCATGGATTTCTTTCAAATCTTGGGTCAAACATTCCTCTTTAGTTTCTTTAATGACATAAATAAATGAAGAACTTAAAAATCAATTTACCCTCTTTCACTTTGATTTTCTTTTTTAAATAATATTCTAAGTCTCTAAATTATCATTATATATAAATATTTTGATTATTAACAGAAAGATCACAAGTGTGACTGTATAACAGTAGCTTTTGCTAAACAAAGCACATGTGGATGTAGGCTTAGATGAGGGTAAGAGGCATTTTCTTTGTAGTTTTCCTTATGACAAACATGCCTTTAATAAAACATGAATTACAACCTGTGACAAACAATACTCATGAGTCATGGTACTTCTTACTAGAACTAGACTATTAGTGTCATTTACTGAAGGATTAATCTACAGGTTCTTTAATCTTTTAGTACATGGTTAATCAATGTTGTACCATATAGTCCTAATGTAACCTAAAAAAGTCAAAGTTGAAACAACAATATATTCTGTAGATGATTAGCTCAGTCAGGTTAAAAAACTTATATCAGTATTTCTAGCAATATGATCGATATGAAAATAAAAACAGTTCAAAACCAACATTGACTTTTTAAAGTAAAATAAAGAATTCATAATCATATTTAGAAAAAATAATAGCATTGGTAAACAGGATGTCAATTTTCAAAATTAAAATATAATAATAAATTATTATTTATACAGTCGTGCCACTTGCATTTTTAATTAGATATCAATAATAAAAAAACAACATCTTTCTCATGAGAATTATAGCTTCCAGACAAAAAAAATCGATTCTCTAACAATTCTGTTATAAGAATCTCCCCCCAGATCTGCTTATACAACATTAAAAAAATACAGTTACACAATTACAAATTAGAAAATAAACACAATATAAGATAACGGCAAACGTGCACTATATTTAACACATAAGTAGCCATAGAGTTTGCAGTGAATGTTGTCAACCAGTTACCTTCCCTATACTCAGAAGTTCAAAATTAGTGACAGCAGATGATAGTCTTAGTAGCTTAACAATAACAAAGACGGCAAGCAAGTTTATTGACAATGGGTATCAAACCCAAGACCTTTAAATTATGAGGATCCTCTCATGCTAGCTTCCTAGTAGACCAAATTCTAATCCTATCTTCAAGAACAAACAAGTTTTATACTAATTTTCCATGTGAACTGAATATTTTTTTTCAGTGTAGCAAAAAACAAGGTTCTTGTAATAAGCTACATTTTAACCTTTGTTAATTCTAGCAACTTAATGCACATTTCTTTAAAAAATAAACCCAAGTTTCAACGTTACAGTTTAAAAAAATTAATTTACAAGTTTTTGTTAAGATTAAATTTTGTCTCATCTTTAAAAAAAATAAAAATTTATATTATTTTATTCTTTTCATTATTATTTTCAAGTTTGATATGCTCTTAAGCCTTGTGTATAACAAAAACCTCCAAACATATAATTATTTAGTTTGAGAAGTTATTCTTATTTAGACAACATTTCATTGTAATACACTTTTTAATTATTTTTTAGTTTATATTTAACTTGCACTTTCTTTTGTTATGGAATCAGAAGTTTTATAAGAAAGTCACCTGTCTTTTAAACTAAATACATTTGAAACATTAATAACTTACATAAACTTACCTGGAATGGGAAATCTTGGTTTAGTGAATATACTCTCTATAAATGCATGATAAAAATTCCTATATTTAGGATCAAATTATGTTTATTTAAATGTGATTTATATTTATAATTTTGGCTTGTATCCAAAACATACACACCTTCCAGCTAGCTGTACAATGCCATTGTCCGTCTTCCCCTACATCCCAAATCTAAAATAGAAAATACCATGCAAGTCAGATAAAACATACAAATTCATGGTATGTGTTTGAAATACAAAAATGTTACTACTAGTACAAAAGGTTTAGGTAATTTTATGAATCAAAAGTTAAGAGAGCACTAAATAAAATGACAGGTGTTCAAAAAAAACACAAGAAGAGATATATTTCTAGATCTACTTATGATTCTAAAATCCTAAATAGAATTAATGCTGTTGTGGATGCTTCTATCATCTAAAAGGATTTCAAAACTCCTAGTAAATAGCCAAAAAATGAAGGGTTAGTTATAATTATGAAGTTAAGGTGTTGAGATTTGGAATGGTGCTCTTGCATTAACGGATCTTGTATTCCTTGAAAAAAAGATGATTTTAGATGCAATTAAAATAAAGGAACTTATAACATGAAAATTAAAGTTTTGTTTAAAGATAAAACAAGTAATACCTTTTTAAAAATTTATCTTAATTGTAAAAAATGAACTATTTTTATCTGTAAACCAAACTTTAATTTAGATGTGCTTATTAACAAAATTTTAAACATCTCTGTTGATTGTTTGGGAATGGTGAAAAGAACAAATAAAATTATTCATTCTACTTATGAGCAAAAAATTTAATGTAGCCTACTTTGGAGTATACTTTAGTATCTGAAGTTGGTGTGTACAGTTTTGGTCTTTTTACAACATAAAGAATATCACAATGTTGGAAAAAGAACTGAAATGGGCTAATTTATATGCAAGAATCCCATTTGGTTAAAGTAATTTAAGTTATAAGGAAATGCTCAGCTTTGAATGTTTCTTGCTTTTCATTAGGGCAAGAAATATATCAATTTCATTCTCTCGACTTTTAGAACAGTTCCACTCTTTCCTAGGACAATAGAAATAAAATTCAACATGCTTTTTCTTAACAATATATTTTTTTATAATATAAAACAAAACTTTGCTGTAAGTTCTTGAAACTGAAAATGTGGTCTTGTAAGATCAATACTCAGTGGGGATGAATTTATCGAGCTAAATGGTCTGTCACCTTATTTTTACTTGCATTTTTATGTAGCATAAAAATCACTAGAGTAAATACCAAAGCAGATAAATGGTAGGACCTCAAGGACTATTCCACACTTTTGTTTGGGTGAAATAAAATCCATTTCTCTTTTTGTTTCTCATTGTAACATTACACAAATCGTAACTGTAAATCTTTATAGCCAAATATTATGATTAATAACAGTATTAATATTACAAAATATAGTTTCAGATTGCCCATATTAATATGACTTAGAAATTAGGCCATACAATTCTTAAATAATCTAGAAACAACACTTAAAATATATGGGATTATAAGACCTGCTATTTGAGTTTCTATCCAGTAATAGTATGTCATTTTCTCTGTGTCAGTGTGTATGAAGACTTACTTTTACACTCTGGTCACTTGAACAAGTGGCCAGTCTTCTTCCATAAAAATCGTAAGCGACATCGTGAATAAGATCTTTGTGGTCTGCATGAATACTTCTAGCAACAAACATGTTTAACTATTTATTTTCCTTGCAAGGCTAACTTAACATCACTAACACTAAAAAACGATGATTGTGAATTAATGTATGATTAACTATCAAATAATTAGGTTAGGCTTAACTTTCTCGTTTTATCGACGCCAAACTTTTACTTTTAGAAACACTGGATTTGTTGTATCGTGTTCTAACCAATCAAATATTTTCTTACATTTCTCTATATACAGTTATTTATTTATCTTTCGTTCAACGAAACATCACTAGAAAAGTGCCAGTAGGCAGTGCATTTTTAATAAAATTCGAAAGGTATATTCAGGCTTTTTTTAATTTCTAATTATTCGTTTTGCAATTTTTTGAAGAAATAGACTGAGAGAACGCAGAATGACTAGCAGGTTCAGTATAGTAAGTCTTTTCTTATAAAGTTAACTATTATTACATTTGTTTATTATTATTAATAAGCTCAGACGCTGGCGATATTATCAGCCCAAACCGCAGGCTAGGTACGACAAGATATTCAAAGAGTACTTGTTTGTTTGTTTTTGAATTTCGCGCAAAGCTACACGAGGGCCATCTGCGCTAGCCGTCCCTAATTTAGCAGTGTAAGACTAGGGGGAAGGCAGCTACTCATGACCACCCACCGCCAACTCTTGGGCTACTCTTTGACCAACGAATAGTGGGATTGACCGTCACACTGCTGAAAGGGCGAGCATGTTTGGTGGGGCGGGGATTCGGACCCGCGACCTTCAGATTGTGAGTCGAGCGCCCTAACTACCTGGCCATTCAAAGAGTACTTAATCAAATGTTTGGGCTAGGGATATCATGTGTTTACTAGATGCTAGGCCTAATGTAGAGGCTAATCATCTAATGATAAACTTTTAGTGACTGTTATAATTGCATTGGCATTACTTTAGCACATCAGGAAATGTTTTTGATAGTAGATTGATTTAATAAAATTGAGCAGTTTTGTAAGCAACTAACTTTCGGTGTAGTATTTCTCCTTCTGAGGTTTAATCTCAGTGCACAAGAGACATAGTTGACTGACAATCATCATATAGTCTGTAGTTGAATGGAGTGGTTTCTAATGGAGTTCCAAGCATTCTCCAACCAGTATATATTAAATTCAGTGCTGCACAATGCCACTCATGACAAGTCAAAAGAAACTGGAGATTTCCTTGGTGGATAATTTCTATCAGCTAGAGCTATTTTGCCAACAGGTGAGACAGCAGGCACAAATTGGTAAAGATGGTGATTTCTGTGGTAGTGGTGAGTTTTCCATGGTGGAATGTATACTGCCAAGATGTCCAAAGGTGACTGAGAAACTTGAAGTCATGCAGAGTTGATAAGTGAGCTACGCACTATAACCTGCAATTCTGCTACCCAAGGGTAAGAGCCTAATGTTTGTTTCATTGCAGGAGTCCCTCTTCATGCCAATTCCACCACACCTCCACAGGTGTTGGTTGAAAGTTCGAGAGAGAAAGGTTTCTGTCACCCTCAAATGTCTCTGGGAGTGATGTTAAGCAGATTTCTACCCCAAAATTGAAGGATATTGCCAAAAAAGGTCAAGACCACTTCCTTAAACATTTTGGACAGGCCATTTTCTGGAATAAATGGATTCAGGGACAAACAGTGCAATACCTGATGCTCAGTATGTATGATGCAGTGCTTGACTCAATCATGTAGTGGGATGAGAAGGAGCAGCATCACAGTTCCTATGATCTGCATTTAATGGTACAGCCAAGAAAGATCTGGACCACTTCCTTAAATACCTCAGGTCACTGTCTGGAAAAATGGCTTCAAGGAGAGATGGCACAATGCTTGATGCTGAATCTACACAGTTTTATACTTTACTCAATCGAGTGGTTAGATGATGAACAACATCACAATTTCTATGATCAGCCAAGATATCAAAAATGGCTCATTGATCTTGGTTAAGCCACTAGCAACTAGGACAATAAATAATTGTAAGATCAATTACTGAATGAGTGTTGCTACCCTTACTTTCTGACATATCAAGGAGAGTTTCACCAAGAGATATCTACAGGATATTTAATGAAAGCTGCTCAATTATCACAAAGTTATGATTGTAAGATAATAGGACCAAATAGGAATTATGACCCTTACTTTACAAGTCATCAAGCAGATTTTCATGAAGAGATCTTCTTAGGATATTTGATGATAGCTGCTCGATTATCATACAGCTAGGACAGCTAGTATTAGTAGAAACCTCTTCTAGCATGTCATCAGTCTGTACAACTGAAAATTATTGCTAAGAGTTCGAAAAACTAAGCTGAAAGAGCATTGCTACCCTTGCTTTTCAAGCTGTCAAGAGATTTTCCAAAGAAAAATGCCATCTGATATTCTACAAAAATTGCTCATCTTGTCTAGCTGAGTAGTAGTAGGAGTTTGGCTAAGCATACTTCATGAAGTTCACTAAACTCATCTACAGTACATATGAACTGCACACATGAGCTGATTCAGGTTATACCAGTGGCGTGTAGTCAGAGCATACAAGTCATGCACTGCATGACCAATTACAAAACTAAAAATGCGGCAATAGCATCAGAGAATGAAATATGTCTTATATTTATCATTACTACTTTACTCTTTGCTTATTGTGTGTTTCTTTGCAGCACCATTCTCATCACATGTTGCAATCTAGCCATGCTATACAAATTCTGCATGCCTAACCTTGCCCTTTGTATGACTAACAAAGCTATGGTACTGTTGCGTCAGCGAGGTCACGTGACTATTATCACGCCACCTGCTTTCTAAAACTATCCCGTTCCTTCGGGAGTGCTCTAGCATTTACTAGATTGGGGGGTGGTCTGATATATATAATAATGTGTGT